AAACAAAATGGTTATATTTCCCGAGTGCACACTGGCTTTGGAATCAGGAAGTAGAAGTAGATATTTAACCATTGACAAGATTAGTAAGTTTTGGTCAGCACAGGGAACATCCACTTAGCCCGTCATTGTGACAAAGTTAAGTAGCTGATGATTCATAAGTGCTGTTTCTGTTAAACTGGAAACCGGTAATTTACGAGTAAATAGCTTTATTGGTGAAATTTTGTACATCTATTTGTGATTATCTGCATTCTTCCTTCTCTCCTCCAATCTTCTCTGCTAAGATGAGGTCAAAATTGAATAACAGCACTCTACGAATATTACTCTTGATTGTTTGGAACCTACAAGAGTGTGTTAAATTTAGGAAGGAGTATACACATTTTTTACATATTAACAACCCTGCTGGTAAAATTTGCCTTCATACCTCCAAGCATTGTGTTCTGTTCTCCACTTTCTTGACTGCGACCTTGAAATGTCCAATCTACTTCTTTTAGTACCACATATATCATAAATCATAAAAGTGAAGCACAAGCTCTCGGATAATAAATAGCACGCATCCGGCGTATTGATAAGCAAGATCTTCTTCCGAGCATCCCTGAAAACACTGAAGACCCTGGTGTGTTACAAGAGCGCATGTTTAGTAAAGAATTGCGTAGCACATAGAATGCTTCTCAGCAAATGCGCTTCATAGATGCGTGTGTCGGCATCGTGCCAGCACAAGGCAGGCGTAAGACTGAGAAGTTCCGTCGCACGCGGTGGCGCGTATATTGTTCTGGTCCGGTATTTTGCGGCTGTGCCGGCGGCACAAGTCTTGCGAAATACTTTGAGACAACGCGTTTTAGGCCCTGAGATGGAATGTGTATAGCTTTTGAATGGCGATACAAATAACTTTGCGCCTAGACACCAAAAAAACAGCGAAGTGTCGAATGTACATTGGACCCAGTTTTTTGGTGTAACGGTTCCACACTCTAGGGTTGCGTTGTAATTTACTTAGACAAGGGTTCAGTTTTTGCTCTGATAGTATAGAATTGTCAGCAGAGAACGGTCCGAGCGATTAGCTCACGCATTCAGACAGAGCAGGTCACCTAAATTGCCATGTGTGACCTAAAAAAGGCATTAGCATTCCAACTGCAAAGCCGGATTTATTATATAGTATGTTCGTATCGTACAATCGAGCTGCTTTATCTCATTATGTGAAGTTCCTGGTACAAGATCAAAAATTTTCGCATTAAGGATAGGGTTCTTATCGCACACAATGCTCCCCATCCACATCAGTTTTCCTATACATTCCGAAGAATCTCGCACCTTCATCTTTACACTCAGTCGCGCAAAGATTACTGAGTCTGTCTCTGCCGATGCGCATCCTCGTTTAGGAACTTCTTCAGTACTTTCGACTCTCCTTTTTGAACCTGCTCTTTTGGTTACGATCAAAAGTAGAGGTGAAAAAAGCAATCATGTCTCAAAGTGATGGATCTATTAGAACTGTTAGAGACGCAAAAGAGACAAGGGGTATTTGCAAACTCGGGTAGCAACTGAATAGCTTTCGGCCCGTTTTTTTTTCTGAGTGGGAGAAGCTCATGCACTAAAAACATCAAATTTAGACGCAAGTTCTTTTACTTTCTCGATCAATGAAATTCTTTTCAAAGCTACCAAAACGCCGCTATATGCAAACAATTTCCTCTCTCTAGCGAAACTGAAATCAACCAAATCTATGGGAGCAGCAACAGACTAGGACTAGTACAATTCCGAAAACCAAGAAAACTCTTGGCATTAAAGAGCTGTCGCCGCGCCCTTTCATACCTGTAAAAATTTCTTCAGAATGCGATGGCATTTTATGCGAATGTGCAGCTTGACATCTGTCATCAAGAGACAATATAATGTTTGATTTGTTAGAGCAGGAGGCTTCGAAATTTTTTCGATGCCCTAATCGATAGAAGAGAAGCTCAAAGACAACGATTGCTTCTGTTTGCACTTATTTTAAATTGGAAAGAAAAGAAAGTCGTTTTTTATTTCCCATGAGATCGCAACAATTCAAACCCCACAAACGTACATAGAGTATCATTAATAGTGCAAAGCAGGTCCTACAAAATGGCTCTACTGCTTTTGCATTAAGTTTGATCCATGTGAAGTTCCAAGATGGTATCTAAAAAGTTTCAGATGACCGAAAAATCAAAAAATGCATCTCCGTCCAAAAAATTTTCTATAGACCTCCACCTAGCTCATGAACGTACATCCCTCATCAAACATTCATATGCGCGGTTGCTGTAATTTTTCCGTGGCTAGACGTCGAAAAATTGAAAATTTCCATGCTTCTGCCAAAATGATGCTGCCGTTCCCGCTTAAGTAATTCCATTCACTTAGCCTGGGAAGTTCAACCGTAGATTCCCAGCATTCTAGCATTCAGCGTTTATTTCCGAGAAATATCGAATTCATTTGAAAATTACCGAAGAAACAAGCTTAAATTCGGTATTTCTCGAAATTTTGGCAGCAAAAATTCTCATTCTTTCAATGTTTGAGCAAGGAAAGATTACAGCAACTGCGCATAAGAATGTTTGTTGAGGGATGTCTATACGTGAGCAATTTGGGGGTTCGTAGTAACTTCTTAAACGAATTGAATTTCTTCGATTTTCTAGTCATTTGAAACTTTTAAATTTTATCTTCGAAATTCACGTGACGTAACTTGCTGCGAAAACAATAATGCCATTTTGTTGAGGTTGCTTTGCTCAACCGAATAAGATCCAACATATATTTCTTGCATTTGGTTTGTTGCGATGCCCAAGAAAATAAAAAACGACATTTTTTTCTTTCCAACCTAATATTCCGAAGTACCACGTCAAATCTCCCTCGTTTTTCTGATCATATATTCACAATTCGCTGACAAGCATTCATAGATGTCATGCCATCAAATATCAGGCGAAGCTGTCTGTCGAAGAAGGCGCAGCCTTTGAATTTCAATTATGAACACTAATTTTTTGCTCAATTGTGCTACAATCCCTGTGTGTACTCTGAGCTGCGAAAACTAGCGTTAACATTGAAAACTATGACGATTTGCATTATTGTTGTGCGAAAATCAAAAGTCGTAAACAAGCTTATTTATCATACCATATGAGATATTCAAAATAAAATTCTATTTTGCTACGAATGCGAGCTGTTTTCCCCTTTTCTGTTTGACAAGAGCATCTGGTTAGGTCTTCTCTTTGTTGTTTCAGCACAAGATACTTTCACGACCTTGACACCTGCATTAATTTTCAACTGCAAACATCCAACTGTCGGCGGTAGTTCACCACAATATGACACGCTTCAGTTGCGCCACTATTCGCAGCCTTCGACAGGCAAGAGATTGAGTTGGAATATTGAATTCAGGTTCTCGGAAATTCTGCGTAATATACAGAAATTTTCTAGTGATAAACGGTTTTGCAAACAGATGTAGCTGACATGCACTTCTGAAAACACCATGAAATTTTTTCGATGGTAGCATTTTAAATCAGACGAAGATGACACAAACAGCAATATCTACGAACTTCATCGGTAACTGTAATTTCAGCGCGACGGAAATCAAATGGCCAGGTTGCTGCTTGGAGATAGCATTTATTGTTAGCCTCGCAGTCACACATCCCGTCCAACTCCTCAGCATAATTGAAAGTGAATTTTTGTATAGGAACGTGTAAATTAGGAAGTTCAAATGAATGGACGTTCTTCTCTACTGCGTAATGTCCCATAAAATTGCATAAGGTGTCGAAGGGAGAGCTTGGTCGTAGTAACTACGTAATTCATACACGGCGGGATACTCAGCATTTCCTTATATATCAGTATATTCACCGTGGTTGCCTTACCAAATATGGTTAATATAAATCAAGGTCATTTGCATAAAAGCTCGTGGCTCTGCTCCCTTCACTGGGAATGTCCGAGCGCGACTTACTCGACCCCTCAGTGCCGTTTCGCATTAGCCAGGATGGCTCTTCGCATCCATCTCCACAAACGCAAAAAAGCCGACATGTGCTGCTTTTAAAGACAAAAAGCGTATGCACAGAACGTAGGCCAAAACGATGCACAGATAAGTCCCAGGTGGCAGTCGTAAAAGACATTTAAGCTCCCTATGCTTGCTCTGTATCAGATTTCGAAAACTGCGCCTCGTAATGCAGAAAGAAGACTTGACTCTCACATCTTCTTTAAAAGCATCGTTCCGATGAGAACTCAAGGAAAAGGAGAAGACGTACAGATATACTTTATTGTGCTCGAATGTATGAGCCGGTAAATTTGAGCCAAATGATCTTTCTGCATGAGATGCATATCTGCTTATGCATCTCAAAGTGCTGATTTTGAACCTCTTCGAGGATCCGTATCACTCCGCATGACACAGTGCCACCGCGCGTAGCGTCCAGCGCCGGCTTTGTGCCTGCTCACGGTCGACACGGACGACTATGGGCCCAGTTTTTGCTAGACATTATCAGAGCACCTTTCCTTGCGGAGACGAGTCCATACCCTTTTTTTGAACACTAAAGTTGTAAACACTTCAATCGTGCAGTGTGATACAACCTTCGTACAAGAAGAAACCCGATACAAATTCGTTGTGAATAAAACGACAGACGTAACATTGCTCGCAGATCTCCAGAAACCCCAAAAATGCTTACCAGCCAGTAAACACTTTCGAGATATCCTTCCGTTATCCATGACATCTGAAAACCGAAGATAAACTTTCCCCTATGCGCGTTTGAGTAATCCGCAATTTTAGCCAAAACATGGCTTAGGGATACCTATTCCCAAAAAAAAGAGGCAGATGCCGCCCCACAATGCAATGTACCCTCCTACTTTAGAGGTCCTCAAAGGTTCGTAAGAGCAGAGCGACATGCTCAACTTCTTCCTGATAGTTTTAGATTCTAAAAACACACTCAATCGGTGTACCTTAACTTCAAATAAGACGGTGCAGTCTGTACTGCTAGATATTTTGTGCATATTTACTGATACAACACGAGCAGCAAGAGTGAATGCGAGGAAGTCAGAAAAATCGGATAGTGTTCCATAACTTGACTACCCTTTAGAACTGTTAGCCATCACTATCAAGATATATTCAATACAATACAAAAAATAGCAATACTTTAGAGGAAAGATAGCTCCTTTTTCGTAAGTCAGAAAAGCTAGCGTTATGTAACTGAACCACATACCGTGAATAAACCAATGAACCCGCAACTAAGTACATGCTAAGAAATGTTACAATTTACCTACTTGCAAAAGTTTCGTTAATAGCAAAAGTATCCAGTGGAGCGTTTTACAAAATCTTCAGAGCAGTAGCGCGCACGATCTTTCGTTGATCGTCACAGTGAAAGCAAAAACAATTAGAGGCGTTCATAAACAAAACCGGATCACACTTCCAACAATGGAGATACCTTTTTTAGGCTGCCCCAGAAAGGTTTGACAGTGCATTCTCAAAAGGATATTGTGAATAACTATAAGTCATTGTAACGTATGTTAAGAAAGAGGATTGACAACTGGTTAATATTCCGAAAAAGATGTAGTAAATAGTTAACTTCAGAAACTAGCAAACTGAATGATATGTGGTTGAGTTGCAAGTGAAAATCGGAAAGCAACAGGATATCAGCTCTACCACCAGCGGAAGAACGGGCTTCTTGTCTGAACTTTCTGCTGATAGGCATCATGCCATGAACGGCGAGCTGCCACCGTCGGAGTCTGCTCAGCACCAGACGACGACGGAACGTTGGATATGGCAGTGTCCGCTGAAATTGCAAGATGAGCTGACTTGTATTAAAGTCGAATAAAATACTTTCCACAAAGCACTCTTTACCAAAAAGGGACTGAACTTTCTGCAAAAAAAAACCAAAATTTCGCTGATAACCCAAAAATCACTTGTCATTCCGTCCCGCAATCAGTACAGCTCTGTTGCAGATGCGACACCAACATTTGCATAACAGTGCTGACTTCGAATGAGGCAACTACTTTCCTTTTATTGCTATTCATCAAAATACAAGAATGTGCAAAGCGAACGCACCCCTCTATTCTACGAACGCGTCAACAATTTTTTTTCTCCAGCGATAAGCGATCGTGAAAAACGTAAAATATTGCATTGCTGCGAAAAATGTGTTGTTACGTACGATCGCGCATCACAGCTAAATTGATCTGTGTGGAAAAGTAATCGATGGATCATTGCAAACACTTTTTTCCAGAACATCTTTTGGTTAAACAGCAATCTGCTAAGCGATAACAAAACCTGTTTGAATGTGCATTCGTCATGGATGACAGCAAGCTGTTTTATGTATGTTCCCAGTCCCGTCAAGAATTCCATAGATTTCTCAGAATTTCATCGAAACATGCACGTTGACGCTTCCGTCTCGTTTGCCAAGGTGATTTTTACGATTAGATTTTTTGTCGCCTCAATTACCCGTAACAAGGACGACTCGAGCACAGCATGCACGTTCACTTCCTTTTCCGGTCAACAATTAGCCGCCTGCCTCCTCATCCTGTGTTCGGCATCATAAACAGCTCAACCTTTTCAGAATTCCCCCCCCACGAACGAGGGCACTAGGCTGCTTAAAATGATGTTGCATTTTGCGGTACAGACTGCGTAAAGCGTAGTGTCAGGTACAACTGAAAGTGTGATGGGATTCTGCTATTTTTCACAGCGTCATTCGTATAGAAGTGAGGTACGAACGACAGTTTGCTTCGAGAAGTGGGTCAGATTCAATAAGGTGCTTTTTCGTTGTTCGGCGAATTTGCAATGTTTGATGACTTATTGTTAGCATTGCGACTGAAGGCCACATTTAGATTTCGAAATTGGTAATCGAGATTCTTACATTCGTAGTCAGTTCGTTCGTCATTCTCGGAACGGGAACGCTGTCGCCTCCGCTTTTGTTTCACTTCTACCATGTATTGAGCAGGCATCTGGAACCCATAACAATAGAAAGCACAAAACATTAACGAAAAACAAACTTCGATTTGTGTGGAAGATTATAATATAGCACTTTCGATTTTACGACATGACAGTACACACTATTATGCCACATGGGATGTGTACATTCGTAACGTGTTCTCATATAGCTCTCTACGTTCTGAGAAAGCCGTCAGACAGATTCTCGCCACTGGCCGATATGTATACACACTAGATCGACATGAGATTCTTGCGACTCTAAAGACTTACCAAAATCAGCTGGTACGGAGATTTCTTTGTGCGCAGGGCTTCTCGCAGATTGAATATCTGACCACGCATTACAGAGAGTTGACGTTCAAACAATTTCTTGTCAAATCCTTTATCTCTCTAAAAGTACCAATTTGGGATGAGTATCATTAAAAAAATAGTTTGCAACTGATGCATTTTTGTGCAAGACCAACCACAAACAAGGGACTTCCATGTCGAAACGACATGATTTGTCGTGTCGTTGGACTAGCTCTGATAATCGTTTCAGGGGCTATCATTCACAATTCATTGGCTCCCATGAGGGCGAAGGCGCCATCCTTGGCACGGCTCAACGCTCGAGATTCAGCGATGCGCCGCAGTTGCATTAGATTTTTACGGCTATGCTGACCTCTGTGCACGTGGAAATGCTTACGACATTGATGATTGATTATCTCTTCACCAAAAACATTGACAAGATTGTGCTGAATACTTCGAGAAACCGAATGTCACTCAATCACCATTTTGCAAACATCTAGAGTTTACGTTTGCTAGCTCACAGCAAATCAGTGCTCTCGACCCCCAACTCCTCATTGTTTCCTCGTTCGAAATTTTCGTTCCTCGTGATGCCGTAGCAAAGCAAAAAAAATGAGAACGTTGGAGATGGTAACAATTTTTTCGTGGCTGGTTAATTGTTGTAAAGAGCGAACGGTGGAACTGACACTTGCCTTGCTACTTTTGATGCGTTGGTCATATGATCAAAACTTGAAGTGCTCTGTTGTTGATTAGCAGCTGTTCAGCAGTACACGTCGTCTTTTTGCACAAAACAAAAGTTTTGCACAAAAACAGATTAATGGAGCATTACTGCATGCGGTATACTGCTGAGACATTACAGTAGAAGTCTTTTTCATCCTTGTGTGACTCAGAACAAGGATGACTAAGATAATGCTCGTTGTAAACGAAGTACTTCCGCTGCTGATACAAGCTCATTTCTGAAAAAAGTTCGGAAGCTACTGCCGAAGGCACTATTTGGACTTTTTCTCCTAGGTAACTATAGTTTGTATCTGAAATAGTAAGGGAAGATGTTGCCGCCAGTAGTCTCCACTGCATAGGCTACGAAGCTCCGAAGATGATGAGGAGCACGACTACAGTTTGTTTGACTTTAGCGAGATGCTATGTACATTCAGCAACGGTGGAAACTTGATACCCCTATCTCACGTCTGCACACCTGTCTATACAGTTCTGTTGCCGATTATTAGAGATTTTATTTGAGCAGCGTTGGATCCCACAACTAAATCATATTTTCAATAAACACCAAATAAAGCACTGCAGGGATGCTTTTATCCTCTCCACATCAGAAAAACGTGATACCATTCTCGTACACCGAAGTACAGATTCCTGAGATAAAAACGTACGGCGTTGTGTGCAGTGCTTTTTTTCGATTCCAGAGACAACAGCTGTACTCAGCAATTTTTTTCTTAGCCGTTTTTAGGACTTTTTCATCTACTATACGCGGCGATAAAAACCCAGCGCAGAGGCGGTCGTAGTAATATATGAATGCAGAACAAAAACCCACAGCACAATGACTGCTCTTATCTACTTAGCACTGCTACCTGTTTTGAAGACAATCTTTCCTGTAATAATGACAAAAAAAGATGGAACGAACTCTGAAGCAGCAACAATAATCTCATATTGCACTTTACTCCGATAAAATGACCCCCCCCCCCTGAGGAAACAAGGAAATTTTGTGAAATGTAATGCACTAACCAACAACAATCTCTTGCAGTAGGTCCAAAATTCCTTACGGTAGAAAAGCTTATTTTGCTTCATTCGTGAACGGCACAGTCTTATACTCCTTACACTGCTGTTTGCGTGTAAGCATTTCGCGAAAAAAAAATCGCAGAGAAATTTTCTGTAATATACAGCAACGAAATCTTATGAGCCCAGTAGAGTCGACAAGCACCGTGCATGCCAAAATCATCGCCCTGCTCACTATATCATGCTTCCCACAGGAAGAACGACTAGGGTAGCATTAACCGGCAGCACTGGACTGCCAATGACCTTCGAGTTCTTTGGAGCAGAAAACGTTACGCTTTTTCTCGTAGCTGTGAACACTAAGGTCACTGTCCTCGGCGCACATCCCCGCGTTCACTATGATGCAAAAATGCATGCGATGCATGTAATCGTGAAGTCATCAAAAATGCGCCTCTCTACAGCCGTGGTTTAGCGAAAGCAGCCACCTACAGATAGATATTTTGAAAAATTTTACTATAGTGTTATGGTATGTTATGTTATAGCGCGCCAATCCCTGAATGACTTCTTCGCGAGATAATCTGGTTCCTCCGTTTGGCAATCAAAAACTTTTAAGTGCCCATGCCCATCTGTTTTGCTCTGTGCTATCCATAACTGCCACCACTACGCTCCCATAAAACGACATTTCTCGAAAGGCAGAAGAGAGCGCAGAGCACGTATCAAAAACGGAATGGTATAGTAGCAAGAGTGCTTTGTGATGTGCTTGGGATTAGGTTTACGATAAGAATGTGAGTTTAGCGGTAGAATCTTTTCCGCCAACATGCACTGCTGGCCACTTGAAGTAAAGGCTACGAACAAAATCAAACTTGAGCCGCATCTTCCCCTCTGTCTTTGAATGTCTTTAGTCTCCTACGTTATCTTAGCCACCGAATGCGGCGATGAACCGACTCGAAACGTCCTCCACAAATCTCACAGAAGCGATGGCAATCTCGGAGATTTGTTAGGCTCATGCGTCTATCTCATCAACATTCTGGCAGCTGAGCGTAGCCACTGATGACACCACCACCAACGCACAATGGTCGATACGCAAGCGTTTACTTGATATGCAGCGGTGCTGTTTTGGTAGTATCGACGCTGCACTAGGATGTCAAGAGAAAAAGCAAACATAAGCGGATGCCTACTTTTTCAGAGAAGATTAATAACTAGATTCTAATCGCTTTCCAGTAGGATCGAGCTATTCCAGCCTGCTTGTGTCATGTTTTTTTTTACAAGTCGAGTTTCCCTTCCGAATCTGTTCAGTGGTATGCAGCAATGTTCAAATGGGTTTCGTGACCAAATAATTCTCCGAGAGGCAGAAAAAACCTTTCCAGTCACATTACTGTCGAAGTGGAACATGGACCATTGCTCACCCTGAACACCTGTTTCAATTCCTCGCCAAGTTCGCGAACAAAATTGGTGTCGTCCAGCTTGGGTAGTATTGCATCGATAGTTTCGTCGCTGAAGGGTTTCTGGGCCATTGGAAGCAATGACCAACCAAAAGGATCTGCAATGGAGAAGGTGGAGGATGAGGGAAGAATGAGAATAGATAGTGTGACCAAAACCACATCATTACTCATATGGAATGCGCTGCTCAATTTGTTCCTTCGCTGTGCATAGCACTGCATAGCACTTTTTTAGGCTGGGTTCATGCTGTTTCGGAACTTACAGTATGAACCCAGCCTTGAGATTTCTACAGTACGCAGATCTCATCGCATCATAGAGGATAACGATACCATTAATACCTATTTTCTATTTACATTTAAGGCGCATATTCGGTCGAAACAACAACATGCATAACGCTCGCGCAGATGTGTGCGGCAATATATCATTAACTATTAATTGATGTCATTACTTTCCTGGATTTTACTGGGAAAACGTAGAATACATAATCTTAGATTTCTCAGTGAAAAATGTGTAAATCGTCGATAGCAAGACGTCTGTCGCTCTTTGGCGCGACGCGTCCTAACAACGTTTTTCACTCGTCTCGAATTACTTCAATACCTCTGCCAATACGTCGTTCATGTAATGTTCATCCTTCCTTGCTCACTTAATCACATCGTCCTCGGAAAACCTCAAGAAAACCTTCTACTATCTTCTTCATTGCTCTTTTTTTACACATTTTGGACGTAATATACGACGCGCAATACTTTACTGCAGAGAACGGACCTAATGTTCGAACTTTTTCAGATTTCAGGCAAAGTTCTGCCGTGACAGAGGTATTGCAGCTCAACCCACTAGAACAACTTCCGACTCTTCTATTATTGCACGGTGACATTTTATCGTTCGTTCAACTCAATTTGCAATTCCCGATATCAGAAGCTACTCGTTGAACTAAAGAGATTTACGCGAAATCGCTCGCACTGATACGTCGAAAAAGGTGAAATAGACACTGTGATTGTGAGATGCTCCCTTGCAGTGCGAAAGTGGGCAGCCGATCGATGCGTCTTTCTGGTATGAGGGCATTCGAGACTAATGAGTTTCCATTCTGCACGAACACTCTTACCAAGAAAAAAAAAACGTCTGTGAGTGAAAATAGATTGTGCGCTGGCAATGTGGGCGATTTCGAACTTGCTGACGCTGCGCCGTTTCGCAGTCCTACGATTTCGAATGCATGCAAACTGCAGTATTGGCCGAAGGGTTCAAGCGAAGCGAATTAGACTTAACTCCCGCTCTCTCTTTTGCAGAATTGGTGCAGGGTGCGCTACGCTACTAATAAAATGGCGTTAATGATTGAGAAAACTCGATTGTCTCAGGGCGATATGCAAGCGCGAAAGTCGAAGAAGTCTCACATCAATTGCGTGCAACCCGAGTCAAACTGACAAATTGTTTGCTGCGACGTTGAAAGTATCGCATGAGTAAGTTACTCCATCACAAACAACAGGGGTATCAAACAAACACGCTCCCTCGTACTGAAAACATGCAAACACAACCCACGTCGTCAAAGTACACTTTTTTTTCGACGGTAAAATGGCAACGTCGATTTTTCTCTAACCGCAGCGTTTCTAAGGTTGGCAGCAGCAACGGTCACATAAGAATTAGTCCTTCGAGAACGTGCCGAAAAAGAACTGGCTCTTTGTTTGTGAAAACGCAGCGCTGTCTCACAACGAACAATGAATAGCAATACTTCGAAGACCCTGGCTGAGCAAAATTAAAGTTTTCAGCGGATTTCTGAGAAGCATTCGCAAGTATATTCTCTTTAAGCAAGTTTTTATTGTGCTAAAAAGCGAGTGAAGGATTACCAGAATTACTCATTGATTATGCGCTGTACAACTAGTTACTAGGATATGGCAAAAACCATTTATTGAAAGGATGCGCATGAATATATCACTATTATATGGAACAAAATCTTTCCGAATCACATTCCCCGCTCAAAAATCCTATTAGCTCAAACGCTGCTAATGATACGGTGGGATAAAAGCTGATGGTTGTTTACGATACGGGTGTTTTTATGTGGGCAAAGCGATGCTGTGCAGTACGATGACACAAACAAATAAGGCATGCGCACTCAATGCCTCCATTGCGTTTTATCCCTTCCCTACGACTGACCAGAAACGGCACAGCTAGATTTCGGCTGCAGCTAGAAGTCTAACAGTCCGCTTCACTAACTGCAGAATCCTTCTCTAGTTGTGAAAAGCATCTTACAGTGACTCTTGTTAGCTAGCATGGAAAAAGTCATACTTACATGCCCTCCATTCATCCGGATGTTTGAAGGGGAATGCCAAACCATTGTCAATTGCTGCAATTGCTACTTTTGGCACTGTCACGTCAGCCCACTCCACTTCTGCAGGTGCCGGTTCACCACTTGTTCTTTGTTGTTGCTCATCAATCAATTCTGAATGGAACTTTTGTTTTGAGGAAACAATTTTCCTTGAAAGAATCAACAAATCAGAAGCGATACTTGTCGACAGCGCTTTACTCCATTTCGCATAATGAGAAAATTTATCTATGCCTTCGATATTAGTCAATATGCGTTCACACGAAGCGCGCCTCGTTTTATAAGGACTCGAAAAATGAGGACATTTCCTTATAAAGCTTGCTAAGATTTGGGTGTACGTGTGAGTGCGTGCTAGTTGCCCAATGTCGTTGTCGGCACTGTTTACTAGTCAGTAATCTACTAGATTATTCACCACATAACACATGTGACAGATAAAATAAAAAAGTGCGTCCTATAAAAAGGTGTGGCCAGCAGCCGGCACTTGGCGCCGCACTGATTCAAACCGTCATTCGTGATCAGAACCACTTGCTCCTGCGCCGCGGAGATGTCTGAGCCTCAGGACGCTGCAGAGGCCGAGCAACCTTACTCGGAATCCGTGCATACTACGACGACTACGGCTACTACTGTTCTGCATGAGGAACAAATGGTGGATGTCTCACCTTCCGGACCGGAAGCTCGGGCATTCGCTTCTGCTAAGTCAATCAACTGGCCCTCATCAGGTGGCTGTAAATTAAAATCATTCACTTTTGATCTCTCTTTTTTTCTAATGTTCATGTGCTCTTTGCGCTTTGCAAAAACCTGCAAATCCACCGTCCATTAATGGTGAAATGGGGATTTACGATTCATCTTTCGCAGATATAAATCACCTGTGTTTCTGCTACATTCGTGGGATTCGGATCATTTGGCACTATTGGAGTTTCCGCCACGTCAGCTTGTTCGTACTTGATCAACCAGTTATCATTACCACGATCTGAATTTTTTAACTGATCTGAATTTTGCTGCAATTCGCTTCCGAAATTACCGGTATTTCTGATTACATAATCGAGAACAACCATCTTTTCGAAAAGCAACTGGAACTCTCTTTGCGTCACCGGTGGAGGTGCTTGTTCTGGATAACTGTCCCATATTCGAAGCCAGTGCGATGCATCTTGATATCCCGTGACAAACAGTTGGAAACTGCCCTTCTAAAAAAGCAAAATAAATTTTGTAGGTAGTGCACGCAAGCAGTGGAATCGCAGTAGCATTTCCTCGCGATTTGTCAGCAGTCGTTTGGCGACGTTTTTGAGCTAGCATATGGCGGATATGTCTTCAGACTTCACAGTCCATCTGGCCGACGCACACCCCACGCGAACATATTAAATTTCTGCGGAAAGGCTGGGATGACTCAGTTTTGTCACTGTTCTATAAGGTTGCCATGTGACTGGGAATAGTTTTCTTATGCCCTTAATTGAAGAGAAAATTCTTGACTTGCAGCTACCGGTTAAGCAGTTCTTTTCAGTAATCCGCGCTCTGGGCTCATTACAGTCCAAGAGAGTGGTTTCACGCCTCATCTACGCTACTTTGATCTTCTAATAGAAGGCTGCTCAGCATTCTCTGTTTTCGCGATGTCCCCTAGCAAAACATGCCTTCGACGCCTTCCTCCACTCCACTCCTCATTCTGTGCTCGCGTCCTCGACAGTGAAGGCTGTCGAGGCCGCCGCTCGCCGTTCGCTTTTTCAGTTGCCCTTCACCTCTCGAATGCTTCATCGTACACAGCTCTAGCGTTTACGTTTGCCATGACGAAAGCGAACAACTATTGGCATAAAATCTAATACGATGCTTTGATTGGTCTGGTCAAACCATCGCCGCTCTCGCACCACGTATCTAACGCTAAACAACAGTGTTATGCGTGTGAAGCAAACGGATAACCCGCACTGTTCGGATCTGCGGACCATGCATTTTGTTGTGGACCACTTTTGCTGCGCGCGATCGCGCTTCTACTGATAGATGGCAATTTGTCAGGCTGACCTTAGGAGGGAGGCCAATTCTGTGGAAGCGTCGACCAAGATCGGGATATCTTGACTGGATGCGCTCCTTTGTCCTCGCCTTTGCACGATCCAACCTTCCATAGTAGAACGTCGGTGCTGCCAACTCCACCACAGCTGTGGTAGGTACGATGTTCAGTCCAAGTTTTTTGTCAACTAAGGACGCACCAGCTTCTGATAGGTAACCCTGCAATTGATCATAGTGAAGTGATTAGTGACGTCACTAGCACCTATAAGGTTTCATTTTTCTATTTGTTGCTTAAAGCGTAAGGTTGATTCATTTTCATTGCAGTCATCCTCGAACGGGGGCGAGGAGCGGAGAAGACGGAGAACAGCGCTGAAATCACAGTTAGAACATGGTTATAATCGATGACAGCACGATAAGAGACTACAATAGGAAACGCATAAAGCGCTGCGAAATTTTCGCGGCCGCCCGTTGAGTCAAACGAAGGGCCGCCCCCTCCTGTCGTCGTCCGTGGGGCAGGCCTCCATTTTGCATGTCGACTTCCTCGGTAAATCGATATGCAGTAAACAAGGTCCGGCCTCGATTGCAACCTCTTCATTGAAGCGGACTTATTCCCTCCAGACCCGTACGGACTGCTCCGCAGTCTGCTCTTCGAGGGATTAGCTAACGAAACGCACCGGCTGTCGCTTATGCACGCCGACTAGTAGCCACCAATGGCATCTGTATCCATTATGCGATGCACGCGCGTGGAACCTCCCGTAATTATTTCGTGCTACCTCGCGAAAACCGGTAATGCCTCGATTGTCGCAACAGTGCGACATCGCGCATTCGTAGCGCTCATCAAACATCTATATTCACACACTTTAAGACTTGCCTTCCCATCTATGTGCGTACCTTTGCAGCGCGCACGTACGTACCGTTCGATGAATGCTCGCATATCGACGCGGAAAAAAACAACGGGCTGAAACTAGTTATTTCTTGTCGCCTCAAAGCGCTCCTCCATTGGGCAACAGTTCACCCGGACTAGGCAATCAACTAAATGTTTCCATCATAACGCATGCCATCATTTGAAGTGTCTTCTTTTTTTACAACTAGCGTTACTATGCGTTCCTTCCCTTCCACATGATTTTCACAAGTCATGTTTTTCAGACCACTTGTTTGTTAGTTTCACCGCGGTAGCAGCCAGATAGAAATGCCCGTGTTGTTGTCCGGGTGCTACTCGCACATTCAATCTGCTCTGCTTCAAATATGCGCTGAATTGTATAGCTTCAGAGCAAAAGCTCACACTGAGTCATGCTTGACAATATCAATGCGTCGCAGTTTGGTAAGGCCCATAATTGATTTGTATGAGACCATCATTGCTATATAGATACTAATCTTGCTCGTACTTCTACTTTGCCACTGTTACTGACTGAGACGCCGCTTCGACGGCTGTCTCGGATTGTTTTTGCGAACGTCGCTTAAAAAAAGCCAATTTGTCTGGAAGCGTGCGCTAGGATGGCGAGCTGGGCACTGAATCGTGTGTCCTGACCATCAAACAAATCCCGTTAGGGCCAGATTGGTGCCTCCTAACCTTTCACTTTGCACGTTCGTTTATTATAAAAAAAATCTTATTTTTGTTGAACGTCGCTGTTTTTCCTCGTTTCCTCGCACTCCTGTCTTCGCATTATATGTGCCGTCTGTTGACGAGGAAATAAAGGGCAGGGGGGGGGGGGAGCGCTTTCAAGATCCAAGTCAAGCACAAACAAAGTGAAAGTCGTAAATTGACTACTTGTTTACTATTCCCTCAGACAGACATAGGGCAGTGATCAAAATTCTTCCATAGGTACAAACAGGAAACGAACTGAAAACATCCCCTAGATATTTATGCGTTTAGTGCATGCAATGCAGTCCGCCTTGTCTAGACTCTGCCCTTGCTAGTGGGCGTTTTTAGCCCCAGTATTGCCATGGAACAGTATCACGGCATAGTGACAACCGGCCATCAAAAGGATCAGTAGAGGCGGCCGCGTGAATCGATGCCCTCCGGCGCCCAGCAGGCCCTTCCTTGTCTACTGGCTCGAGAAGCATCATCCAAAAATGATTACTGTTTGAAGTTGCTTCATCCTATTCAATTGCTGCAGTTCCTCAATCATATCGATCTGAACCATTCCTCCAATGATAATAGGTTCTGTCTCTCGCATTGTTCTGCACAAATTCTAGGATGAGTTTATTTTGCGATTTGCGGAAGAACACATATCATTTTTGAGTGCTGCGCTGAGAGACGAAGCATTGTTGATCAAAAAGGGGGTCGCGAGCGCCAGCGAACATTACTTACTGCGGCGATCCCCGATTTCTCATTGCGTGCAGTAACGAGTTGCTTAGTAACCACGCTGCAGCGACCGCCCTAAACACCAAATCTACGAACTATTTAGTACCAGTAAATAGCTACAGATTATTTTCACTCACATTCGCTCCGTGAACGTTGGAATGTGCTCTAGTGATTCTATTGCTTCTTCTGCTTTGCGTAGCGAATGCACTGGTGCTTATGTATCTGTGCTCGAAAATTGTACCTGTGTTATCGCACCTCTCTTCCCTCACATTCTGCCAACGCCTATTTCCTGCAAGAAAGTCATGCATTACTTATGAGCCAACGTCTGTGAAAAATCACCAACTGGCTGATTTCCGTTGCATTAATAGTTTTGGATTATTAGTGAACAAAAGGCTCGTTTGGCCCAACGAACATGCGCTGAAAAAGAAGGTTGGCGCGGCTTCTCTAGCATTGTTGGCATTCGCTGAATCACGCCTTGCTGAGCGCTAGTCAAAGACTCCGCCTGACAACTTCTATGCGGGAAATATCCAGCACCGCTGGAATACTACCATTGCCAACAATCGCTTACTCTTTGCTGCTGTCTGTTCTCAGTTCGAAAGCTGATCGTTCAGCAAAGGCAACGCATTGTGACGGCGTTTCTTACAGCATGCTGATGTGCTCGTTGGATGATCTTCAGTTGCGGCATTAGCGGCAGTTCTCCGGGAAGAAAGCTAGTCGTCTCTGAAAATCTACCGGAGACACTTCGCAGCATCTCTGCGCAGACCTACCGATCCTCCCCGACATCGGCCGATTCCACTGGCTCCTCTCCTAGCCGCTCGAGTTCACCTGCAGTTCGCACTGCAGATATCACTGCTGGCAAGTGGACACGCATCTCAAGTCGTGTGTCTGTGCGGCCCCTCACTCCTTCCGAAGCCGACTCAGTCGTTGAGCGACAGCGAAGACGTGGACGAGACACTTCTACATCTAAAGGTGATCTGCATGGGAGTGTTGTGAATACGCAGATTGCACTGTCCACCCCTTCCACCCGTTACCGCATGTTATATACGTCAGCGTTGTTTTGTCTCGTATTTCTACGATGCTCATAGCTTGTCCGTGTCTTTATTCGCTTCGTTTTGAACGTATGTTATTTTGCAGAGAGATCGAGAATGGAGGACCACGATGAGACAAGAAGCAGCATCGACGCTGGAGGAACAATCCAAATTCCTTCGAGTGACAGCGTCAAAGAACTAATTCCGGAAAGTCCGGGCTCGCGTTCTAATTATGGGGAATTCTATTGGTGAGTTGGAATCGCATGCATACACTCTGCCTCATCGACTCAGTGCTTGGCTCTGATTTCTCAAGAACTGTACCAATGATGCGTCCTGTTCCCTTCTTACTGCCTTTTTTGTCCTCCTCGTCCTCTCCGGCCTGCTCATATGAGCGCTCCATGCATGGCAGTTTACCACTTTGCGCTTTGGTGGTGTCTGCGGCAGAGCTGATCGATGCCGCGAACGCCTAGTTTGTTTTCGCTGGGGTGGGCCGACGTACCAATTTTGCTGTTGCCCAAAACAGTCGCATCCCACTACTGTTTGTGCGTATCTTGTCGAGCAGAAACCGTGGGTGCCAAAACATCGTCGCAAATAAGCACACCAAAACATGATTTAGAGAAAGTACTAGAAAGATTAGCGAAGTATCTCTGGGACTTATTCTCACTTTACGTGCGTTTTAATGGAAAAGAGCTGTTGCTGATCGTGTGGCCAGTGTGACATGCATGCAACGCACCCAGGCGCTCACATCGCTTACCTATGGCGAGTGAGCGCTCGAACGCCGCGAAGAACGTACAAGTATGCACCTTATTTGAGGGATGAGTTCTCCAGGGACACCTCCGGCGAAAACAACTATCACCACACATCCTCGTTTGAAGACGACCTTCTCGACTTCGATCGTGGTGCAGCCGTTGCTCGGCTTGACCGTACACAAGATGACCTGAACAAGTTCCGCCAGCGCATCGACAACAACGTCGAGCAGCAGAAAGAATACAGTGAAATGATGGCAGCTCTGCAGAACAAGGTTTGATGGCTGTCTGGAGTGAACCTGACAGGCATTCGAAAAGTGGTTCAGAACAGACATGAATTAGATAAGCAACTTTATAGGTACATGAATATCGTAAACATATTGCGGAACTCGAAGGGAAGATGGTTAGCGCTAGAAGAGGACAAGCCGATGGCGGATTTACCATTCTCGACTCGAACGTTTTCCAAGATACCAGCAACAGCTTGTAAGCTAAATACTGACTGAGATTTGCAAATGATCACTGATGGATATTTAGCCGCGATATGGAAATGTGGAGTCCAGCTCGCACTCGTGGCGCAACTACCAATGTAGTCCTTGCCGGTGATCCAAATGCTAACTACGAAATGATCGCCCGTCTTGACGAGGAGCGCAGAAGGTTAGTACTCGAGATATTCCAGCGACTAGGTTGATGTATGATGAGTTTTAGAGCTGATGAATACCGCATGCAATGGGAAAACGAGAGAGCCGCTAAAGAGAGACTGGAAGACGAAAACGAAAGACTTCGTCGTGAGTTTGATCGTTATGATCGCGAATATCGCGACAAGGAGAGGACGTTCGTAAACAGAGAAAGAGTAAGTCTTGGTAGGGTAGCGATGAAGTTCAACACCTAATGTCTCTATATGCAGAATCTCGCTCAGTATCTAAGTGATGAGCAGAAAAAAATGATGGACATGTGGACGGAACTTCAGCGAGTTCGTAAACAGTTTGCTGATTTGAAGGTGCAGACCGAACGCGATTTGGATTCACAACGCAGCGAATTCAACCGCGTACTCAGAAGCGTGTCCAACATCACTCGCAACGTCAACATTACTGGAGGGGATGTAAGTGGAATATGGTCACGCGCTTACAAAGCAATGCTAAATAGAATGTAAATAAATCCTCAAATTTCAGGCAGGCTCCGCAGGAGTGAGTGGCCCTTCGCTGGCGGCACTGCTCCAAGATCTAATCAGCGGAGGAAGTCATACGGCCACGTATGATAGTACCATTATCGAAGCTGTTAAAAGGTACCGAGATCGTACTGGTGCTGCTGATGCTGCCGCAGATCGTACTCTACTCGAAGAGCTAAAACAGATCCGTGGTACCGGAGGAAGTGAGGGCGATGCGGAGTTGCAGAAAGAACTCATGCTCAAGTGTGTTTCAGAGTTTTGCATAGATTATCAATAGAATCAGCAGGAACAGCAAATCGTAAGGGCAATATAGGTACGAGGAATCCATCGAGCGCAACATCGAGCTCGAATCGAAGGGTGATGAAAGCCAGAGAAAGATCGCCGATTTGGAAGCCGAACTGCGTCGCGTCAAGGAGAAACTCAACGATGCTACTGGCGCACTGATGAAAATCCATGAGATAAGCCAGGATTCCGACAAGCTGGTCGAAGGGAAAAGGACCCGTTCGTTATCTCCTGGTAAGTCATATTTGATAGATGCACAATCTGCGATTCATCTCCAATGGCATATCTCGATGGCTTTCGTTTTGAATATTGAAAACCGATGATTACACAATCAGAATCGCTATAAATAGCGTCACGTGCAAAACACGGACATAACTATCGATCCGCATAGCTGCCCACAGAATCGAACACCCTTTAACACTCAGGCAAATCGCCGTTGCCACCATCTGAGGCGCTACGTTCCGTGAGAAACGCGCTACGCAACAAGGACAATGATATCCAACAGCTGGAGAGGAAGCTCAAAATCTCTGAAAGCCAAGTACGTGTGCGAGACTATTCGCCAAAGCTTTGAACCTCATGCGAGTTTTCCTAGTATTTTTTATACTGTATCTTTGCAGGTGAAAGAGTTCATGACTAAATTCGAGACCGCTGACGACACACGCCGACGTCTCGACAAACAGCTTTCGGATGCCAAGAGAGAAATTGATAACCAGTAATTAAGTTGCACGTCGAAATTTGCGCTAAGTTGCATTCCCGGATTTCCAGGCAGAAGAACATTGATGAGCTGGAGCGCAGCCTCCGTCGCGTCGAGGATAAACTTCGCGCGTCTGAATCGGAACGTCAAGCGGCCGACAAGGCCAGGAAGTTCCTCGAAGAAGAGCTCGCAAAGGTTCAAGCGTAAGTTTGTTCATCTCTGATGTCATGGAAAGCTCAATAGTGTCACTAGCTGTTTAGTTCCTATCAAAAATCTACGACGGATGATGTGCGAAAGATCCGCGATGAGCTGGATGAACAGACCAACACCATTGTGGAAGAGCATAAAAACAGGTAAGCCTGAGTTTCCATCCTCATCAAAGACTGCCCTTTGAATTTTCCCGTTCTAGAATCACCGAGCTAACCAGACGCGTTGAAAATTTGGTGCGCGAGAACACCAAACTTAAGACGGATATGGCTCCGCTTAAAGACAAACTCCGCGACATGGAGATTGAATACAACAACACCTTGCGTAGACTTGAGGAGAAGGCACGTTACTAAGCGTGAAAGGTTCCAAACTTAAAAGATATGTTGCAGGATTCTCAAATCAAATACATCGAGGAAATTCGCAGGAACATTCAGAGGGATCTGGATGACCAGCGTAATCGCAACGATGTATTGGCCAGTGAGCATGACAAGCTGACCAGTGATCTGGATAACGCGCTTAAGAGTACACACCTTGCCGAACAGCAGCTCAAAGAACTGAAGGGACAGCGCGACGATTACCAGTTAGTGATGATGTCACTGGGACAGGCGAAGGGCATACCGAGCAGAGAACTCCACTGTTTTGCTTTTGCAGGAAACAGAAGGACGATTTGTCGCGTCAGCTGTTCGATATTCGTCACAAGTTTGAGACGGAGCAGAAAACGGTGCAGGATCTGACTAAGGGCGAATCTCGCTTCAATGACGAAATCGAGAAGCTGAAACAGACAATCGATGATTATGAACGACAGGTAGGACCAGGTTGACGGCTTTCCTGCTGCATAAACAAGTTTTTCAGGTCATGCTTCTGCGTAGAACCAACGATGAATTCGACACAACAATCAAGAACCTCCAAGGAAAGATCACTCAGCTCGAGAATGAGGTTCGATCGAAAACTAGCGAGGTGGAAAAGCTGAACGATCTCAATCAGAAGCTGCAGAAAGAGAAGCAAGATGTCATGAAGTAAATATTTGCCATGTGAAAGCCTTTAGCTTATATATAATTTTTTTTTTCAGCCAAAAGCATAAAGCAGACGCTGACATCCAAACTCTCAAGGAGACAATTCGAAAATTAGAACAGGAACTAGAGAAACTTCGCAACGAAAATAAAACACTCGAGGCAAAAGAGGAACGTGCTCGAGATCTGCATAATCAACAACTCAACCGAGCTAATCTGCTTTCTAAGGAACTCGACGATTCCAAGCATGAAATCACGGAACTCAATGGTGGGGCAATAAAAACACAAATCTGCCAGTTCATTGATGCACACATTCAGATAAAATCAGAGCACTTGAACAAGAAATCCGCGATTTGCGCGATAGGATAAAGGGAGTTAAGGTAGAAAATGTAAATGCAACAAAACAATCCCAAAATATGCAGTAGGAAAGCGAAATGCATTTAGGACACCACAAAGAGTAGAACCACCACAACAACTATCACGAGAACGATTCGTCAAGGACCTGGAGGCGAGACAATCGGTGAAGGTGATGAGGTTACCATACCTGGTAAGTATGCCTTCTGTTAGTGCAACATGGATTTTGTCCTTGACACTCATTGCCAAAAAGACGAAAAGAGACGCATAAATTATGAGAAAATCCATCTGCCGAAATGATTTATCACAGGTTCAACAGATACTGACCGTACAGTTGACCGATACCACGATGATCTCCTTTCTGATTTGCGAGTCAAGGAAATCAATGACAAGTGGAAGTTGCAGCTCGAGAAACTCGAAAATGAAAAGGTACTTATGAAAGCCAACGGGTTGGGTGCTATTCTAACTGAAATCTAGGACGACCTGGAGCGTCGCATCCGCGAACTGGAAGACGAGTTGGCACAAGTTGGAAGAGGAAATGAACGTCAGGAGAACGACGTGTCAGAACTCAAGCGCAAACATGCTATCGAAATCGACAAGCTTCGTTCCGAGATCAACTCACTTCACGATAAGCACCTTAGCGATCTCGACGACGAGAAGGAGCAGTACGGAAAGGTAATAGGGATGCAGTTCTACCAAATTGTTGGCATTCATGACATATTAAGGCTGTTGAAAACCTCAAAGTTGTGGAGGAAGATCTTCGCGAAAAAGTACGCAACTTGGAAAAGCAACTCGCCGACGCTCTTAATAGGTATCTGTCTCGACCTACCAAAGCATGGTGAATAGCTGGGATCAAATTCTAGAGAGGCTGACCTCGAGCGCGAGAAGCGTGACAATGAAGCTAAAGTCAATACTTTGACAACTCAGAACCAGAAACTACGCGACGATATGGAAGACTTGCGTAACGAGATGGATAAGGTAAAATATCTCACTACCACTGTCACTAAGTACATCACATTTCTGCAGGAAATCCAAAAATGGAAGACTGACGCGTACCAGGTGCGATCTGAAGCCAAAGCTCTCGAGACCACCAATACCGGTCTCAAAGCTCAGCTGCAAGCCGCCAATGACCGTATCGAGCATCTCAATAAGACTGTCAATGACAGTACTAACAAAATACGCGAACGTATGTGTTCCTTTTGACGTCAATGATCTCTGTATTGCCGATGCTTTAAGTATCGTCACAAGTGCGCCGCCTTGAAGAAGATCTCACTGACACAAAATCCAATCTTACACAGAAAGAATCAGATCTTGAAAGCACTACCAACAGGTTGGTTCATGACGCATCATCAGGAAGCGCATCTTATTGATGTTCTGCAGGCTGCGCACGCTGGAAGAGCAATACGCACAACTGCAAGTTGATGCTAACAAATGGCGAAGTGAACTTGATGCAGTACAGAGGGAGAACGATGTTCTGAGAAGCACCAATGCTAATCTTGACTCGGAGAACAATCGTCTCAAGAATCGCCTCAAAACTGCTGAGGATTCAATCAAGGAGCTGAAAAACAGCTTGAATCATCTGAAACAGGAGGTTTGTGACCATGTTTCGGAAAAAGTTCATGCGTTATTTCCATAATCTTCTTAACGAGATTCTATTCTAGCGTGAACGCCTCCAGAATGCATACAGGGACAAAGCAAAGCAGGCCGACCACCTTCAGCAGCTCTCCCAGCAATTTGATTCTAAACTGCAGAAACTTCGCCAAGAACTGCAGGAGACCTCTGACAAGGTAACCGTGATTCAGTATTACACATCAGATTTTCTGAAAGCAGAGGAATCATTACTTAGCTACTTGGTTATATGGAATAAAGGTACTGATTCATTTGTACGGTAAAGCAATGCATGAATTGATTAGCAAAGTTTGCAATATGCAATGAATGGATGCCATCACGAGTGGTGATTTTTCCAGCTCATCACTGCCGATACGGAACGCTCTACTCTCCGTACGGAACTCGCCAAACTTCAACAGGAACTCAAATTTGGTGCTGAACAGATGCAGAGGAAGACGGACGAGTATCAGTCAACACTCGACGATCTAGCAAATGCGCACCGAGTTTCAGAAGACGGCCGACTCAATGCTTTGCAAGAACTCGGTAGGCTTAGGCTATTTAGATGATTATTCCGCTCATCATGGGCTTGCAGAAAGTCGAAAGTATGAGATGAGCGACCTGCAGTCACGACTAGAAAGCACCGAGCAACGTCTTATCACTCTACAACAAGATTTTATCAATGTTGATTCTGAGAGAGATTCGTTGGCAGATGCATTGCGGCGATTCCAGGTACTAAACAAATTCACATTGCCTGGTGATTTGCGTCAAGGGAAATAACCGATTCAGGCTTCTGCTAGCCGCGTCATCAACCTCAACCGCTTCCGCCAAGACATCATCGAAGGAGGCGAGCCACGTGACGGACGTGAGGTGGATATTCCACGAGGCACTGCCGAAGAGGATGTACAATATCCACGCTCCGTGCCGTTCCCCGTCGGCATCGATTACACTGGCACCCATGTGGGCGGTAAGTGCACTTTGTTACCGACCGTTCAAGCATTGTGATTGGTTGCTTATATCAGCGACCAATCAGAAATCGCGATGCGCCGTCGTCGCATATTCAATAAGCTGATATGCTGGCGTTTTATAGCAGGCGGTCGCGTAGCCACAACACTTACTGGAACGACTACTGTCAACATCAATGACACCGTCAACGTTTCTCAGCTCGAAGATACGCTCCATCAACTCGTCGGAAGAATTGAAAAATTGGAGCTTGAAAGAGTAGGCTCCTTTTTTTGAAAGGAACAAATGATACACTGAGTTTCTTTAGAACGAGCTTCGCGACACATTGAATCGTCTGCGCAAAAAGACGAGTGAATCGCATACGACAATCAATAAGCATGAGACCAGATACAAGACCATTGAAGATAATCTGAACGACATCGAAGAGGGTGAGTTGCTGGAAGAATCTAGTTTACAAATCTACTCGCAATTGTACATAAATCATGCCTCTCGTTCAAGACAAGCGTGCTTTGGAAGCCCGATTGGCGTCTGCCAAGCAGCTTCTTCGCTCCCAGGAAGAAGCGCTGAAACAGCGCGATGAGGAGCGTCGACAGATGAAGTCGAAAATGGTGGCCGCCGAATTGCAGGCGAGGGGCAAGGAGGCTCAACTGAGACATCTTAACGTAAACTACTTTTGAGAATTCAACAAAGCAACTACTAGTCCATATCGGTGATGATTTAGGAACAACTCAAAAATCTGCGCACTGATCTGGAAAATGCTCATGCTGACATTCGTGCACTGCGAGACAGAGAGGAAAGCTGGGATGCCAGTCGATTCCAGCTTGAGAGCAAACTGAGGGAACACGATAGCCACTCGCAGAAACTCCAGATCCAAATTAGCACTTTCGAAAGCGAGAGACAGGTATTGAGAAGGTAACCATGAACATACCCTAGTTCTAAGCTATGTTTTCACAGAATTTGATGGAAAAGATCAAGGAACTCGACGGAGCCCTCCGCCTAAGCGAGAATAAAGTGCAGGATATGCGCGAGGATGCCGACAAACTCAAAAGGGATCTGGCTAAGGCTGAATCTTATGAATCAGAACTGCGCAAGTACACTGAAACCCAAAGCAAGAGCAGCAATGAACTGCAGATTCTCAAGGATCAGCTGCTTAATGCTCAGAATGACTTGAGCGCAAGCAATTCGCGCAAATCTCAGCTTGAGTCTGAGCTTTTGAATGTACGCAGCGAACTGCGTGACTACAAGCAGCGCGTGCACGACGTTAATGGACGTGTATCGGAGCTGCAACGTCAACTGCAGGATGCAAACTCAGAGAAGAATCGTCTTGAGGACAGGATTCTGAACATGGAAAAGGTATCGGGTTTTCTATGCTTTCATTGGCGTTGGAATGACGGAGTAGAATTTTTTTTTACAGAATTTGAGTCAGCAACGCACAGCAGAGAACGAACTTCGTCAACAGCTGGATTCAGCTAAGAATGACAAACGTTCTGCAGTTAAGGTAAGAAGTGAACTCAATTCACCATAGTATGTCGTCTCCCGCGAAGTGTGACAGTACCAAACCGACACGATTTTAACCACCGTCTGTCTATAAGGTTTCGACATTTGAATGATTCTAATTTGTTAGGAGCTCGAAGAACTGAAGCGCCGTATCATGCAGCTAGAAAGCGAAAGACGTGCTACTTCGCAGCTGATGGACGGTCTGAAGAAGGAAAAATTCACGCTTCAGAAGAAGATTGAAATGGTAACATTTGTCCCCCCCCCCCCCCCCAACTCTAAGCAGTAGAAATAAAACTTTCAGATGGAATCAGAGAAGCGTAGAACAGAAGCGGCAATTCGTGAAACTGCCCTTCAGCGTGAAGCTATTGAGAAATCTCTTAACGCGATGGAACGCGAGAACAAGGAACTTTACAAAAACTGCGCTCAACTCCAGCAACAGGCAATCTAGTTTTCATTTTTTTAGAGGGTCATCGTAACTTCGTTACTATTCATATTTCCAGATAGCTCAGCTGGAAATGGAAAATGGTAACCGCATACTTGAACTCACAAATAAGCAGCGTGAGGAACAAGAAAGACAGCTGCAGCGCATGAGACAAGAGAAAGGCCAGGTACCATTGAGCTTCGGGTTGTGTAGCCTTAGTGTAGCGGGTAGGAAGTGGGGAGTTTTTCAGATTGAAAAGGTAATTGAGAACCGTGAACGCACTCACAAGAACCGAATCAAGCAGCTCGAGGACCAAATCGCCATCCTTCGTGACCAGCTCGATGGAGAACGGAGGAGACGCAGGTCGGATTCGTGGTTTCTGCGGTGAGAAAGCGTCTGAAGTAAGCATTATTCAGAGACTTCGTCGACCGCTCCCTGGTGAACGATATTGGGCGCCTCGGAGGCACTGTACTTGGTATCAGAAGCTATGGTGATAGCAATCTCGACGCTATATTGCACGGTGGAAGTCGTTCCGTTGGGTAGGTCCCAGCAATGAACTGAAAATTCGAATTACTCACGTTTTTCTAGATTCTTGCCACGCTCCACTTTTGCATCAAATCCACTAACCCCACCTCTCGGAACATCGACGCCAACCCACAGTAGAACTCTCACTGACTATCGCGAGACATCAACTTCGTACAATCGCCGTGCCGATGACACTGGTATGGAAGTGATTATCACGAGTAAATCACCAGATACAGACCCCCCAACGGTCCCACATGCGGGGTACACTCACAAAGTTTCACCTAAAGAGTCGGCTTCTATTTTCATACCGAGCTCGTAGACAAATCACCTACCCCCCTTTTTCACCACTACTTTACAAAAAATAACCTAACTGCTTCAGCTCGTTTTTACCTCAAGGCTAGATTAGTGCTAGACTTCGCCTTTGCTAGATGGAAACTGGATAGCTAATGAAAAACGATGGAGATTATGCAGTAGTGTAACAATAGTGTGTTGATACAGGTTCGGTCTACGGCGGATCAGTTCGCGACCGTGATTCGGTCTATGGTGGGGTTGGAAGTGGCGGTCGTGACAGCGTATACGGACGAGACAGTTCTTTCGGACGCGATTCAGTCCGCGAGAAGGACCCTTCCGTTGTAGACATACCCCTGAATCAAGGAGAGGGTTCCATGCAGACGTCATCCGTTAGCCAGGGGACCAAGTACGACACACTTGCACCAAACAGGGATGACCTGTAAGCAGCTCGCTCCTGACAACACATATGCTAACCGTCTGTAACCCTACTCACGCAGCTAGCAATCCTAACGCTTCTGCTTAATGAATCTTTCATAAAAGAAATCTTTTTCTAGTTTTTTTTCGATCCCGGTTTTGTAACATGTTCTTTTATACGTATATGTGTATTTTGTAATGACATCATTCTCTGATCCACTAATCGCAGAACACTGTCATTAACTATGGGCAAAACAATACTGCATTACCTTTTGTTCGTATATATGTTGTGCTTGCTATGCTTAGTTGTAGAGCCTATCTAGTTTCTGTTTCATTTTCGATTTGTAATAAAGCTGTGAGATGTCAGTGGTGTCATATTTGCAAATAAAGCATAGTAGAATGTTTGCACACTGTAAAGGACAGAGTCGAGCTTCATTTCTATATGCGCAATAGGAATTTTCTCTGAGCATGTCCTATAAAACATGAGAATAGGTGAATGATCACAAAAAGATCAGAACGTTCTAGAGTTTCCAGAGACCTAAAATTGCTCATGTGTACAACACCCATTGTAACAAGTGTTTCAGTGTTCGATTACGGAGACTGCACGCTGGCCATTACATCTCAACAATTACTAATACTAACAGTAGCAAGAAAGTGCCGGGTTTTTCAGAATTGCTTCTTACGAGACTGTTTTCGCCCATCTTAGGTCCAACAGGCGTTTTCTTTGAGTGAGAGGACGCCTATGTAAGTTGTTTCATGCTACTTTCTCCAGCTGAATCGCAGATACAGCTGAAAGTCATAACCGAGCTGCTCATGAGATTAGCACAAGATTAAGTCAGGGCATCTCGCAAATTCAGCGAACATTGTTTCTTGATGATTGTGTTGCACCCTCCCCGTTCATCATCACTAAGTAACATAAGGTGGTGCGAACTCATGAACATCAGTGGAAAAGTTCGAATCCCAATTATATCGATGGAGGAAAGGTGGCGTAGCGAGCCTTTCACTGATTTATCGATCTCGGCCCATCTAGAAAATTGAACTTTTTAGCTTTGCACAGTTCTGTATGAACAAGGGTAATACAGCTTATTCCAACTACACGAATACGAGGATTTAGTGACCTGTTCCATAAAGCATTTCTTGATTTCATAGAAGCGGTGCTGCGCGCATAGGTGACTAAGGAAGGGAAGAAGAAGGTAGAAGAAAGTGGGGAGGGAGGGTGGGGGGAGAGAGAGAGACTCTGCTATTGCACGCAAAGTAGCGTCAGTGCTCCGCAGAGGGTGTCAGGTGCAACCATGGTAATGGGACAAGCTCTTTCCTGTCTCCTCTTAAGCTGTCGTAATTGTAAAAAACGGTCAGATTAACGATCAATTTTGGGAAGTAGTCCCTGTAGACATAAAATGAGATGCATCCATCAATTTGGATGTGTAATGCAATCCAAAGCAATTATTACTTTGTAGCTTTGGCTCTGAATAATTTGATAACTTTTCAAGTGCTTTGTGAGGAAGCACTTCCGCGCTTAATTCGAATGGGAGGGCATTTCAACTAGTGTATATTTACATATATTTTAGCTGACAAGAGGAAGACCACTATTATATATGAAGACAGTAATGTGTTCATCTTATCAATAGCGCGGTGGAAGAAAAATTTTCACTCATACCACTCACAAGGAGCGCGAGAAATTTTGCGTTTTGATGAGGAAATAAAATTGTAACTCATGTTTTTTGGTGAAATCGATTTTTTTGAGCAGGTTAATCGCTGAGAATTCTTTGTTTTAGAAGCAGAATTTCTGAGCATCATGTAAAAATGATTAAGAAGACCCAATGCTTGGCATGCCATTTCTGATAAAGAAAACGTTGCTTTTTTCGCGTTTAATGGCTGCGTTGATTGTTATATCGTTGCATCATCGATTCGACAACACAGTACGATTTAAAGCAGTGATTGTGGGGATCAGCTATTATTACACTGCCGCCATCAATTGAAAATTTGTAGTCTTTTTATAAAGAATGAAGATTCAATGTGCTAGAAAGTGCATTCCCAGTAATTTCGATTACCTTATCATACTTTGTAAGCGCAACGAAAGAAAGCATTATTTGGGCTATAAAGAGGACGCTATTATTTTCATGATTTTTGCGATACAATCTATATATACCACTTGATCAAGCTTCACCAATAAATTATCTGAATTCGAGGAAACTTTTACAATCGAGTGGGAATCTACGCTACCGCTAGCTGACCCATACGGCTTCGCCGGCCTCGTCATAAATCGTAGTAATAGAACTTACGCTCTATCTCACGACTACACGTCAGTCTCTGCCCCTACTACGTAAATTCCTCACTTATTCCCTGTACTAAGCCAAATCGTCAAGCAAAAGCTGAAAAACCAATAAAATTGAGGAGGGTATTATAACGAAAGCTCGTTATATTCGTAACCACTATGCTCGCTACCCCGGCACCAACTCTCCGCGTCCCAGTCCCTAGTGTTTGAAAATCGATAGATCTAACGATAGGTAGCCTATGACACCTACCCAACCCTAGTGAAATGGTACAAGGTTTTGTCCAGAATCAGAAATGGAATTTTTTATTTAGAACATAAGTAGCACGTATTACAGGTTACAGAACGACTGAGCTTTATAGTCTCAAGAAAACAAATGGCTTGCTGAACCGCGGCATCGACACCTCATCTTTGTATATGGCACTTGCCCCTCTAACAACAATAATTACGTCGCTAAAAGTTGTCCGTTTTTTATTTACTCGCTCAAACTCGCACAGGATTCAACGAGGAGCGACTTGGACATCATCCCCTCCTCTCTGGCAACTGTGTTTTTCACCTGAATTACGAAGTCTTTGCGGAGTTATCCTCATAACAGTGGAATAGCAAATACTATGATAAATGCTTAATATTCCCTGATGAAAATGACGTACTACCCAGAAAATTACCCAAAAACTTTTATCCTACCATTTTGCAAAGCGTTACTGGCACATAAACTATGCTGCAATCTAGTCGCTTTAGATGACTTATTTTTAGAACACATTCAAGTTCTCTATACTCATTCGACAAAAAAGCATTTCAGTAGATGTTTGTGCGTATTAGCCAGAAAAACTAATTTTTAGGCGAATTAAACCCGATCATCCTGTACAAATCATGGTCAATAACAATATGTACACTTTTGCTGCAGGCGTGTGTTTCAGATTTTTCCAAAAAATAGAAATTTCCAAAGAGACGATTATGTAAGACTATAGACATGGCAGAATCTGAAAGCACCGCTATAACCCAAGATTTGCTCGTTTGTTTATTAGTCTAATCGTATATATAAAGCCGAATGTCTGTCTGTCTGTCTGTCTGTATGTCTGTATGTCTGTCTGTCTGTCTGTCTGTACGTATGTTCCGAATAGAAAATTCCATTTCTGAACAGATCCGGACCAAACTTGGCACACATACATATCGGGCCCCGGCGGGTGTCATAGGCCACTTTTCGTCATCGATCGATATCGATTTTATCGATTTTTTGCAAAATTTGAGCTACGGGGCTGGAAGTTGGCACAGGGGGGTAATCGAGCATGCGGATTACGAATGTAATAATGACAGGGCCGGGCGGAGCCGGGTAAGTCAACTAGTAGACAGATAAAGGGATGCCAGGCTTTTGCAACGATGTTTAGCAGGCCCCAACCTAAGCGATGACTGAAGTTCGGAGCGAAAAACGATGTATACTAAACGCGAAATCTGCCCCAACGTAGTTCGCATCTTACGATAGGTCCGGATGCCTCCTGACAACAAACTCGAACTGCAAGACTACAGCGCGCATAGCGCACAAGTCATGGCCAGGGTCAAGCAAGAGATGTGGCACACGATCGCTGGTTACGACCCTCACCCCTCTTACTGTGTCTCAATAATACCCCTGAACTATATACCTAAGATAGCATTACTTGAAGGCCCTATCAAACATAACGGGCAACTATCCATAATTAGCATGTCAATTAACCCCTGTAGACAATGTTTGAGCGAATTCTGAAGTTTCAAGATACTGGGTCACCTAAGTGAAATCGCCATTTTCCAGCATGATTAACTTTGTTTCAAAGGTGAAGTAGCTAGCTGTTTTTGCACTCAAGACAAAGCACTACTCCTTCTCTGGCCACTTCAGCAATTTCGCTTCAAAAGACCTCCTAACTTTGAAATTATAAGCCAACCAAAATCTTGTCTTTCTTATTTTTCGCTTTTAATGGCTGCGCTTTTACCAAATATTACTCAGAGCTAAAAAGACGAATCAGGCTCAAATCACTCCTATGAAATCTACGAGGTCTAGGCTATCGATTCATTCAAATAGCGTTTGCTAAAAATGTTTTTTTGATCTAGTTAATGGGGTGTGGCACCACCCCTACAAAGCTGTGGCTGCCACAGCTTTTTTTGGGGTGGTGCCACACCCCATTAACTTACCTTCAAACAGGTCAGATAGCTGCGTTTTTTATACAGTTGTTATTGCTCAACCTTCTTCTTTACATAGCAGAAATTTCATATGAAATTTCTTCAAGAGCAAGATATAACCGTTTTTCCTTACCTATGTAAATGTAAAATATTGGTAAAATACTGCGGAAATATTGGAATACGGTAACACGCTAAGTCTGCGCTACTACGTGAATCGCAAGGGAGGCGATAAGAATATATATATTCGAATATATTCGATAACTTAAGCCTCGTAATCTACAAAGTGATTTGATCGTGATTGGTCTTCTCTAGCCGGAGATATTGACAACGAAAAATGGAGCAAACGAGATTTTGGTTTGCTCTTAACTCCTTAATGAAGGTCATTTGAGGTAGGATTCCTAATGTGAACAAAAAAATAGTTGTTCTTTGTATTAAGCGCAAAAAGAAGTTAACTAAACTTTGAAACAAAGTAACATGTTTATTTACTTATTTATTTATTTATTTATTTAATTATTTATTTATTTATTCAATACGCAGAAGGCGTGCCATATTTGAAACAAAGAACGAAAATACATAGAGCACGAACGGTAAAAAGGAAATAACAAGACATCCCCAAAAGCTCAAGTCCAGCTCCGTAAATGCAAAGGTGTTAAACCTGCAGACCGTGTATGGATATCAGTGCAGATACTCGATGGAGTCTGTCCCATGCCTCCTGCTTGCAGCAAAAGTGCTCTTAATTGTTCAACTTAAGCATTTGTATATGCGGGGAACAGATGTAATGATAGAAATTTTCCCGACAGAGTTCGGGGGAGAGAGCAGAACTCCGAGATGAAAGATTGTGATGCAAAAAGATGTCAGATCAGACAAGCCAAGTTGGCAAACATCTCACTTAGGCGGTCCTGTATTTGGAGATCTCACAATCAGAATTCGCTGAAACTTGGATCACAGGGGTTATTTACTTGCTAATTACAGAACGATGCTC